TATTTCTATTTTTAAAGAGAATGTCATTAAGGATATGCGTCCAGATATGTAAGACGACAACTCCTATGTTGTCAAGATGACAAAAGTAGCCCAGTGGGTATTAGCTTATTACAATGGTAATGCCACGTTAGTTCTCCTTAGCTTTTGTGATCATTGGTGAAAATCGAAAACAATCTTATAGAACCCTAAGTTCCCATTTATTTCCCATGCAAAAAGGTCACAGTCTTAGTTCTCGGCCTAATATGTTAGACCCTAGAGGGGGGTGATTAGGGTCTTATGCTAATCTAATCTGATTTAAATGTCAATTAAAATTAATTAACAAGTTGTATTCTTACAAGATAGATATACAAGAGTTATAAGCAAGAATAAGCAATATACACAAAGTGATATATCCTATATGATGAAATATATATGCAAGGATATATAAACTAAGGGTGATATAAACATAAACAAGATAAACAAGATAGTGGACAAAGTGAACAATAGATAATGGCGACAAGAATGATATGAACAATAAGCACAAGTGAGACGCCAAGACAATCACAAACACACAAAGATGATCACGGAGTTCGGACCTTCCGTCCTACGTCTCCGCTCCCCACTCCCAGGGAGAATCCACTATCACAACCGTGTTTTCTACGTTCACCCGAATAACGTTTACACCTCACAATTTCTCTCACGGAGTTCGGTCCCCACGACCTACGTCTCCGCTCCTCACCTCGAGGAGATTTACACTATACACTCTCACAATGTGGCTACACTCCACACTCACAATACGGTTTTCTAGTTCACCGAAAACTTCACAACACACTCAATGTAACAAATATAAATTTGTTCTCAACTATGGATGAGAACACAATGAAAGCTCACACTCAATGTTACAACTCTCACAATCCCAAATATATTATGAATGTAACTACAATAAGCTCAAGTGGGTGTGTGTAACAATGAGATAAAATCAAATCTAAACTCAATACAAAATTAGCTTTAATAGAGATGATAATTAACAAATAATTAATACATAAAAGCTAGAGTTAAGTTTAGGAAAACTTCTCTAGATGACAAGAGAGAGATGGATTGAATGCCCAAAATGTAATTGATAATCTCCTCAAGCTCTTGTAAAACAGATTCACCAAACCGAAACACTCAAATGCTTAAAAGCTTATAAACACACTTAAACCAACTTAAACCCTTGATTAAAACTCTTTAAAACATTTCTTGCTTACATGAAAACTGAGATCAAAGAGGGTTTTTATAGCCTCCAAGACCTCACCCAAAAACCCAAACAAAATGACCAAAAAACCATTCTGCAACGGCTCTAAAAAGAGCCGTTAGAACTGCAGCAGTTGAACGAGGAAAATCGCGGTCAACCGCGAGCAAAGAAAGAAGCGGAGAAAAGTTCCAGACAGTTCGTCGGTCGACCGGCGGAAAAATCGGTCGACCGGCGGTACTGTAGCATACAGTTTCTGAAAAACTGTTAACATATACGATTTTGTAAAATCAATTAGGCACAGTAAATAAACTCCAAAAATAGTAAAATTTTGAGGTAAGTTTCTAAACATGTAGGTAAACATGTCAGAGAAAGAATTTTTCAAATATCACTTCCCATTTGCGAAAACTCATCTGTTTTGTAAAACATGCACGAACATGTGCACGAACGAAAACGTGAATTTGTAAATTCCTTTAAACATAACAAATCAATTTCAAACTTGATGAAACTTTGCGAAATGTTTGTAAACATGAAAACAAACATGTTAGAAAAAGAATTTCTCAAATTGAATTTCTATTTGTGAAAACTCATGTATTTTGCAAGTGTGTCCAAAGCATGAAAACTCAAAACCATGCATGTATATATATAACTATATATATACATAGAAACCAAATACGTGTGTGTATATGATATTGAGCTTAAGGTACTTAACACACATAATATAAAATCTAAACTAGATTACCCAAGTTTGATCTTGATCTTCATTGTAGCTCAACTTGGTACACATGCGGATGAAGCTTGAACTTGATCTTTAACTTTAAATTTCAAAGCTTCACCGACATTCCGTCAACCTCCTTTGGATATCATCGTTGAAGCTCTATTCCATCCATCCTCCAACTACGTTTGTCTACAATACATAGGAATACACAAATACTAGACAAACAACATTAGTAGTAAATTGTTTGTAAATCATCATCAAAACAAGAAGGCCAACATAATATGCATCAGGAGACTGAGACACTTATCAGGATTTCCCTATCTCGAAGTCTTCTTTTTGCCAAACTATAATGATTCGCTTATATGGCTTACTTTTAGACTTCTAGTGATAAAGTGCAGTTTAGACATTTATGAAGTTTTAACAACATTTTAACTCTATTGTTATGGATCAAGTATCTTGGTCAAGGATATTTCTTATCTCCGAGGTATCCCATGACTTAGAGTATCAACGAGTTCTACATTTTGTTTTATGTTTTGGTTTTCCTTCATGTTGGTGGACATTATATCCTGATGGTCTTTTTAGCTCCTTCCCTGTCATGTCCTTGAATGTTTTTATTGTTAAGGAGAAAGCTGTAGTTTGTTTTTAAACATTTATTGACAATGCTTCCTATCTTTTTCACAGAGGTTGCGGGACCTTCCTTTTTTCATTCGAAGGATGATAAGAGAATTTATGGATCCTCAAAGATCCCTTCCACTTGTTTTTAGGGCGCGGATGATATTTGCAGTAAGTATTTCATGCACTTCAAGTTTTTTGCATATTATTATTTCCCGTAGGCTTTTCCTTCATTGAATCTGTGTTTGCATACTTCAAAGAATTGTATGGTGGGTATTCACTTATATGATTAGTACCCCACTTAGTTTGATGGTTTACCTGAACTGTATACCCTGAGTCATATGATTGACAGTCTGTTGATTTATGTTCTTCCCGATTCACTCTGAATTTTTCTTTGTACTTCTATATGTTCATGTGGGGTAAGAGTCAAGGTCTTCTTGGTTGTGTTAGTGACATCTGGTTAGAGAGAATCTTTCTCTGATTCACGATCAAGCCTTCTAGATATGTTTTAACATGCTAGTATAGAGCACATGTGTTGCACGTAGACATATAAAATTGGTTTTTGTTCAATTAATCGAGGAAACCCTATACAGGATCATTCGTTAGTCAAACAGACAGTGTGCAACCGAGATGTCTATCCTCTCTTAATTCGCCAGAGCTGTTGGAGCATAGATCTCATTGAGATGTGATTTAATCATTCATCTCTGCCTCTTCTTATGCCCTACAACAAAGAAATGTATTTTAATTTAGAAAAGATTTGACATGCATGTGCATGCACTCATTTTGGTTACCTTTCTATATCCAACAATTGCTATATTTTTTGTTCTTCCTCATAAAATGCAGAAAAAAGAATTAGAGGTTGCATATTTTTGAAGTAGGAACTCATCTTCATTTTAATTTACATCTATATGTACTTTTAATGCCATTTGAGATTTATTTTTAAATAAATTTATTTTTAAGGTTAATTGTGAATAGACCCCCTGCAATGTCACCCAGTTGCGAATAGACCCCCTATGCTTCTATTTCTGTGAATAGATCTAATGTAGTATTTTTCCAAATGCGAATACACTCCCTTATTGAACTTTTTCATCTATTTTAAAAGTTAAAAATCAGCAATTAGGCATCTATTCTCACCAATGGAACTATAGGGGGTCTATTTGCTTCCTCCAAACTTTTTTGATGATTTTAAGAGTAAAATAATATTCACTTAAGAGGACCTATTCGCAATTGGGTGATACTATAAGGGTCTATCGCAATTAACACTTCTTCTAAAGATATAATATTTTCCTTCAAGTCTTAAACTAATAGATATTTTATTATTCAAAACATTGTGCTATATTTTGCATAGAATTACTAAAGCAAGGAAAAAATTATTTTATGAAAATTATTATTGTCATTTTGTTATCTTCTCTGTTTCACAAACATTTGTATGTTTTAAGTAGCAATTCATCATATAAATATATCAAATTGATAACTCAATTAATTCCAATTTCTAATTATTTCAATGTCCACTAATAATTTAGCTAAAAGCCTAAAATAATTCCAAACTTCTTTCATGAATTTCCTCAAACAATTCGGCGACATGAAGAAAGGAGCCAAAAAAATAAACTAAACCAAAAAAGAAATGCAACTTAGCTTTTGTGATTGAATCTAAGGGTTGATAATAGTTACATTCTTAATCCGGATATTTTTATCGTACCTGAAATTTCACTTGTAACTGCAACTCTTAGCAAAAGTGGAGGATCTGATCACCCCTTCTGATGGTGATGTGAGAACAGGACGGGCCATAGGCAATTGCATACTCACCGCTCTTGACAACTATCACATAATCTCTCATTACAATGTGGGAATCTGCAATGCATAATTGGAGCTAGCATCTACAAATCATAGATAAAATATATAAAATATTTCTTTACCAATAGCAGAAGTTTCACAGGAAAGACTCACTACTCAGCTTCTAAATGCTTAAGATAATAAGATGATAAAAGTACGTATCAACCAGTAAGATATTGGATCAGTTCCATCAATGTTTGGAGAGCCACCTGTAGCCGGTATATATAGTCACATTTTGTACCCATCACAGTGCTGCAAAAAGAAGCAAATTAGATGATTGTTGTGGAAGGTGAGAAGAAGAAGATGCTCTTCTTCTTTCCTTTCTTCTTCTCGTTAGGTCCTTAGGAAATAGACTAGCTGAATCCAAAACAAACAAAAAAGATTTGGAGGCATTAGAAGTATAGAGGATCCCGAACAGTTTAGAGCAGATTCCATTATACGAAGGTTAGGTTAATAATGTAAAAAAGAATTGTGACTGAGTTGAGAGGCTCTACGCGGGAGATGAATCAGTGAAACATGAATTCATTGCAAACAATAATTTGTTTTGAACCGTTAAATGCAAAATTATGATGTTGTATGAAGGTGAAAAGCTCTCTATAGGTCGGGTTAACAATTTTGACTATAAGGAGATTTTTTTGAAGTTTAATTAAGAACATATTTACTTGATCATTTAATCTTCCTTCAAATAACTTCACCCATCTTTTTAGCTTCTTAGCGAACCTATTTACGTGTTTAACACATGTATGTATGTGTGTTAATCATTTAATATATATTTAATTAGGAATTTTTTGAAAAAGATATTTTTTAAAATAATTAACAAAATCGACTGTTTTCCTACATAACTAGCAATATAGACCTTTTTGTTGATTTTACAGAAAATCATTTTTAAAATACGCAGGACTATTAGTCCCGTGTAATTAGTCATCTTTAATTAATGAAATCGGCATGCTCTTCTTAATTGGCCTCCTCTTGTAACACCGACCTCTCTACTCGCTCCCTCACCTGCCGCTTACCAGGGCTTGAAAATTTTCTTTATTCTATTGATTGGAGGAGCTGGGGGTTAAGGTCTGGACGTTAGCCTGGATGTTAGCAACACTATTGGAGGCGGATCTTGGATTGGAGCCAGGGTTTCGTTGATGAAGGGAAGATCTTGGATCAGAGCTAGTGTTAGGGTTTGGATCCATGCTGATTTTTTGAACTGTGAGGTCTCGATCTGAGATTTGATGAGGCCGTCGTCATCGGCAAGGTTGGTGTGAGAGTGGTGGGCGGGAGTCGCTGCGAGAGTGTTGGGCGGCAGCAGAGTCAGCAACAAAGATGCGGTCAAGGGCGGCGCGAGAGCCCTTGCAGGATCAGAGAGCGGGGAGGTCGACTGCTAGCTCTTCCGCTTTCGCTGCCGCCGCTGCTTGAGGATGAGAATGAAGAGAAGGTGGGCAACGTATTGGCGTTGTGTTCTTCATCGTCATCATTGGATTGCTTCCGATTGAGTGGATGTGATGTCTTATTCTTCTTCTTGATCGTACTCTAATAAATCCATGAGTATTTTTTTTCTCTTTGGGAAAGGGAGAGAGCTTGGAGGTAATTAGCGATTGTTTTTTAATTAGTGCTTGCTAATACGCGGGACTACTAGTTTCGTATATTTTAAAGATGTTTTTTTTCAAAAGCGATATCTTTTTGGCCACATAGCCAAAAAGAGTAATTATTATCTACAACGACCGATTTTGCTAATATTTTTTGAAAGTGGTCTTTTCTAAAAAATTCTCCTATATTTAATATGTGTGTACGTGTCATTGATAGACACGAGATTGCATGGATAACCATTACAAAATAAACGTATTTATATAATTGTACATACATATTGGAGGGTATTATGGGAAAAAAGTTTTAACATAAGTGTACTTTTAGAATAGAGTTAGATTAGATTATTTTTATATTGAAGTTTGGTCTGAACAGTTCCTTAAGTTATAATAGGACTCAACACATTCTTTGTTTCTTTCTGGTGGTGTTACTTGCGTTCTTAATTAAAATTATCACTAGAAATCTTTAAGATGAAATTATATTAAATTATTAATATTGAAAATCTTATTAGTAATTTTGAAATGTGGAATCACAACTCTTTACGAAGAAATTGAAATTATGGGGTAAAAGTAGAGATTAATCATTCCACATTGTGGCATGTCAATAAGTACTACATATGAATGTAAGTTTTTATTTGTTTCTATTTGGGGCTGTTTGTTTTCTATTTGGCGTCTGTTTTGTTGGAGCATAATAGATGGACAAGGATTTCCATCCCCACCCAAGAAAAATATTTCCTTCCTTTATTTCCATTGTTTGGTTGAGAAAAAAAGTAGGAAATTAATTTCCTAAAACCACACATAGTTTCCATAAAGTAGAGAAATCCATTTCCAACCTTTAAGCTTGGAAATGGGTTGGAAAAAGTGGTCTTAACATTAAAATATACATAAAGTAGAGAAATCCATTTCCAACCCATTTCCAAGCTTAAAGGTTGTAAAAGTGGTCTTAACATTAAAATATTTTATTTTTAACAATAAAATATATATACGATAATGATGAAGAAGTCTTCTCTTAAGTGATGTTTTCCCAAATTTCCCATTTCATGACAGACTCAAGAAGGGGAAAAATGAAGAATCAATTCCTCTCATTTGCCTAAGGTGAGATGACCATAAATTGTAATGTATGGGTAAATGGCATAAAAATACCATAAAGTTTTCATTATGTAGCAGATAAATGCTACAAGTTGTATTTTGTAGCATAACAATGCCACATGTTGTCAAAAAGTAGCACATTGCAACTATTTGTTAATAGATTAATGGAATATTTTACGGAATATACCCATGTGATTGTCACATGAAAATTTTGAATAGCATTTAACCCTAATGATTGCAGTATTTACTCTTTTACCTGTCCGTCTCTATATTTAATTGTTTACATCCTTTTTAAACATAAAACCCCTCAAATCTCTCCAGCTCTCCCCTAACTCGAGCCATAAATCCCTAAATTCTATGTTGATCTTCCCTGATTCATCACTGGCGTCCCTAAGGCGTTGGAGGCAAACATGAATTCAATGTCCAGAGTTTCAAGTTCATTTTCGAGTTCAAGTTATGATGGAGCTGAGGAGGAGACACAAGCGTGTTATTGTGGAGCAATTTTGTCACTGGAAACCAATTCTTGAATGAGGAATTACCTAATTAGGGATGAAAGTTCAAGCCCTAATGAGATCCCTTCTCCAAGATCCAAATTTTGGCGCAATCCCTCTTCTTTCTCCACGTTCAGCCAACCTCCCCCCTAAACGAGATCAAATTTCTCAGAATTAGGGTATGGTAAAAATTCCATAGGTATAAGGTTAAAAAATGGAGGGATTGGGTGTACTTATCGTTGTGATCATGCCAGGGATAATTTAGTCCATCCATTAGTTTTATAACGCCATTAGTGAGTTTTTAACGGGATGGTAGCAATGTGCTACTTTTCAACAACTTGTGGTATTTTTATGCTATAAAATACAACTTGTGGCATTTATTAGTTGCATAATGGGAACTTTATAGTATTTCTATGTCATTTACCCTTTTTTTACCTTGAAATACCGTTCCAGTATTTTTAGGAAAACAACTATAGTTAACACAGTACGCGGTACATAGCGGGTCATATATGAATTCGGGTACGCAATTCGCCACATATAAATTTTGGATTTCGGGGGTGGCTTTGCTTCGGTACGCAAGTTCAGTTGGTAGTATGTTGTAAATTTTTTTAGGGTGCACTTAAAGTTTTTCAAAGTATATAGTAGAAAACAAGAAAGCTAATTATGAATTTTAATATTTTTTATACAAAATACTTAAATACTTCTTTTTGATGGAGTTTGTTTCTTTGTTCTATTTTTTTCACAGAGCTTGTTTCAGGATCATGGTTTTGTTTTACATTTAATTAACATACATGTTTATTTACAATATCGGCTCATACACTCTATTGTGCGTCTCCCTTCACTTAGTTGCACACATTGCATTGCATCTTGCACACACGGACTTAAAAAGACTTTGCATCTAGCATAGTTGTAAGTGGTAAGCTAATTTTAGGGAACTGGTTTGGGTATCAGAGGGAATCAGTTCGCAAATGTACCAGGATTTGGTTGGCATTAACTGTACAACGATTTTTTTTAAGGGCAACTATGAAAACAACCAAACAGCCTCTTGTCTTTATTAGGTCTTCTGGTATTGTTCCTTGGAATCTAATGAGAAACCTAAACATGAATAATGGCGTGGTTAGATGTTAAGAAAACAAGGAACTGTGAGGCATCTTGAATTCTGAGTCTGTTCCTTTTTAATAACGGCAAAGAAATTAAGATTGGCTGTCGGTAGATACTTACCGAGTCTGTTCCTTTTTAACAACGACAAAGAAATAGATTGTTTGTTGTAAGATCCGTTGATAGTGTGACACATCAGATAATTGGCTAGAATATGCAGAGGTTAAGATTTTGTGATGTCCTTTGTCTGCAGTTGCTTAGGGGTTGGGAGTCATCATAGTAGTATAAATCCTATCTAATACTATTGTTTTTGGGAAAATTGACTTAATACCCTGAGATGGATAGTTGGTTTTAGTTATATGTTGTAGAGCAAGTATAGAGCAAGTAGGACTAGAAAATATCTGTTACTTTCCTACTATACTAGTACTGCTAGTACTCTAATTAACTTTAATAAATACATTTGTAATCATGCAGATGCTTAATGTATTAGCAATCAAATAAATCTAAGACTATGTCTGGTTTGTTCAGCAGAGTAGTCACAACTCAAGTGGGAGCATTAATTGAGAGAATGATATGTTTCTTCTATGTTTTAATTATCATTATATTATCACCATTAATTTTTTTGGAGGCATTGGTATTATCACCTCCTGTAACTATTTATATTTTATATTTTGAAATCTCTAGCACCACTACCAGCAGCAAAATAAATGATAACAAAATATTCTTGGGCTGATTTCATAAGTCGTCTCCTTCATCTAGCACAGTAATTTTATCACAAAATTTCGAGCTGCGTAGATCCTTCTTGGTCATTGATGCTGCTGTTAGTGAAGCAGTCGCCATAACCTTTTTGTTCGGCTGGTGTTCATGTGCTAGCATCTAACACGTCAATGATCAAATCACCTACAGTCCTTTTTGCCTGCCCACGAGAAATCACAGTAACACTATAACATGCAGTCTTTTTATATATTCATAATGCATTCACTCATGTCTTTGCTATTTTTCTCTTTTAAAACTGATTTATCCTTGGATGTGCAGATGGCACTCAGTGGAGTCTATGTCTTGAGCCCAGTGGACATACTTCCAGAAGGTCATTCTGTTCCATATCATTTAGTAATCTAAATTAGTGGGAATTTCACTTAATCCCCCTGGGATTTTGCACATAACCCCCCCTGAACTTTGTTTATTTCATTTAACCCCACGGCCACCAAGTAGCACCATGAACTATGACGGGTCATGTGCCAAGCATGTGATAGCAAAGGACGAGAATACTCCTAAGTTTGATAAACATTACCCCTTCATCATTTTTTTCATTTTGGGGTTATGTTTCAAAATGGGTATTTTGGTCATTGCTATTAACAGGTAACAACATCAGGTGTATGTTGTACAAGCTTCGAAGTTCACGCCAGGCATGGTGTTTTTTTTTGTTTGTTTGTTTTTTTTTCTTTTGGGGGGGGGG